CCGAAGCACATGAACAGGTTTCGGGGTGTTGATTGTCCACTGTACAACGTCGCCCCCGATCGGGGCGGTAACCAAGCTCTCAATCTTGTATAGGCTTGTAGAATACGGTGGATACGAACTTCTGACGGTATCGGGTAATGACACTGAGGACGATAACGCCATCCTGTGGAAAGGGCAAATAACAGAAAACGTGACAGATTTGTCAGAGACACAAGTTCAAGGACCTCGACTTATACACTCATCTGCATTTCAATTTGGCCTTGAGGGGATACCCAGCTGAATCCCCCGTTTATGATGTTCGCGCAATTTGAGTTCAGACAGAACATAAAGTTGAGGAAAACTCGGGGAGTGCGCATAGCGGATGAGCCTCAGTAAGGGCGAGGCCAGTCATGGGCTGCCGAAGAGTTTTCAGCAACTTTATGCGTTACTTCTGAGTTCAAGGACGTTTGTTTGAATCAGAGCGTCTAGATGAGATTTATTCTATTCCAAGACCGGTCCCATAAGCCAGTGTTCAACTATGCTTTTGGTTAGCACTAATCGATATTCGTTGCAGTTGAGGGAACACTGCGCCATTCCGGGCGCAACTACCTCTGTTAAGACTTTCTCCTAGAATGTTACACACGGAATGAACGTTCGACTAATTTTCTTTGTCAGTGTCTTCTTACTACAACAAAATCGACCGCGGCGCCATCCCCGCACACATCATGTGTTCATGTTGATCACGCCCAGCAATCAGAATGCAAGTTTTCATCGACGAAGCACAGTTTGTTTCAAAGTGATGAACTTCTTCAATGAGTGTCGGTAAGGCAGAAAATTTTCCAGAGAAAATCAATGGAACCCTAACCCGAGCAAAGGTGAGGACCTCAACCTAAGAGGGACAAATATGAATGAGCTGGGTATTTCTTTGAAAGACAGTTCAAACGGGACCGAATGACTAACCGAGGACGCACGCTGTGTAGCGAACTGGCTGCGAGATTCATGTGCATTACCGTGACGGAGAGGAATCTGGTAGACCAGCCGTCTCGGTAACGGGAAGTCAGCCGTTCAATTTCGTCTCCAGACTTGCCTTTTCAATCATACTAAGTGACACTAGAAATCTCATTTTATGAAATCAGTCCGATTGTAATTTCAAGAAAACACAACGCCTTGGAAGCGCTCGATGTCTGCTGGACATTTCATGGAATCGATAGGAGCCGGTCTCTGAAAAAGACGAAATATGTAAATAACTTCAGGTGTCGTAATATCATGTGTACCGGTCCGACGTCCTCTCTACAGCATTAATTAACGCTGTCCATTCTGCTACATACAAGGAGTTGTGGCCAAAGGGCTACACCAATTCGACCATCGTCGTTGAAGGTTTGACCCTTTGCAAAAGATATATGTGCCTAAGTGTGATTCCCATCGGGTACATGTGAGCTTCGGACCGATCGGAAGGTTCGAATTTCAGCTAAACATACTACTGATGGAGTTGTGGCCACCCTTAGCAAATTCAGGTCGGCATGGGTCAGAGCTGATAGGTACAGACTCAGTTGTGATCAGTTTTTGCACTATCGTTCAACGTGGATAGGGGAACTGACGAGAGGACAAAAACACACCCGAGACAATGGTGTGTCGTGTAACTTTTCCAGTTTTCTCGGGGATTGGGCGGACGACTTTATGCATGATTGCCATGGGCTGGTCCAATGTCGGTTAAGCCGGCGCAGTTCGAAATTTCTTCCCAGCCGTCGGAAAAACACGCCAGATTGGACTGATTGATAGGCAAAGTATCTCATGCACAGATGGGATAGAAACGCATGCTTTTTCGCTCTCTCTCTCTCACACACACTCACCTTAATTGACAAGGCGTACAGGTGGTTGACGATCACGTGATTCGGTGGTGGCAGCAAGTTAGGGTCACAGTGAACACCGGTATCCATATTCAGAATGCCCTGCAAGGAAAAAGGACACGAAGCGAACGAACATGAAGCACGCTATCAACGAAGTGAATAATACATCGCGGAACAAGGTGTTTCCAAATGAAGTACGAACACAAGGCGGATTTACGAAAAATACACTCATTTGCATACCAATTTGGTTTTCACACGAGACTCAGCTGAGTTTCTCGCTTATGACATTCTTCAACTGAATGTGTGCAAAATGGCCAGTCCAAACTGCGCGAGACTTGCTGAGTTTCTCGCTTATGACATTCTTCAACTGAATGTGTGCAAAATGGCCAGTCCAAACTGTGCAGAACATCGAAGTGCCCAAAGTTCCGCGCAATTCCCCGATGGATGGATGTGACAAGACGCTGGTTTCAAATGGGGATTTCGTTTTGTAAGCGAAGCCGAGAAGTACAATGCACTTGTTTCATCCCCACTGGGAATATTCAAAAGTGCGCAGGATGATTTGAACTTGAAACCACCTGACTGGCGGTTGAAGACTAAACCGTTCGACCATGAGCGGCTGATCGGCGGTGTGCTTGACTCGCACGTAGACAGGATAGTGTCAACACGTGGTCACGTGACGCTGTGTAAGCGACAGTTAATCAATGTTGATCAGCCTCTCGTGGCCAAACGCTTTCTTTAACAACTAGCTGTGAGGTTGCGAGCTTGAATAGACCAGAGGATTCGTGAGCTATGCACTGCTGATGATTCGCAGTGGAGATGAGGCGCAGATTGGCCTCACCTTCGCACCTGATCTCCAGTGAACGTTCAAAGTCTTCTGAAACTGCTAAAAAAGGAAGCTACTGTGTCGATCACCGCTTTATGGCGACTGATAAGTCGGGTCACGAGTGAGCAGTTTTATACGAACACGGTTTTCTAGCACTCTCTGGACGTCATCGGATAGCGTGACTCATCGCCGTCTTCCTGGATGGGGACCCCGAGACGGGCCACATCAATGGTTAGAAACACTGCCAGACATGGCCCAGTCGCGCCCTCAATGGTGTTATTGCCTTCAATTCATAGCTTCCTTCCCAATCCCCCCCCACTTGCTGTATTTACGCACCAATTTGTCAGCTCCCGCCTTCAATGCGCAGCTACCTACCCCACCTCCCCGAATCATCGGCGAACGAACCTGTGGCAGCTACAACCACTGTACGACGAGTACGCGGTTCATACAGCTGACAATGGTGATGTGATGACGCCACGGTTCCTTACTTGGTTTGGTCAGTTGAACGTGCCGGAAGTAGTACTTGATCTTGACCAGGTTCGTTAGTGATATATACAGTAGTGTCCCAAAGAGAGACGTGCTCTCGGGAAGAAGGCCACGTTGTCTGGTTAAAAAGAACTGTATGAGTTGTGAGAGATGGGAAGCCCCTTTATGATGCATGCAAGATGGTTACAGTCTTTCAGCCTTGGTAGAAAAAGCATTTACTACGCGCTAGTCGCCATGAATTCCAAACAAACAATGGATATGTGATAGTTCGTGACAGCTGCAGACCAAGAAAAACTGTTGAATCTTGGTTGCTGGTCTGTTCGCCGAGCCTGGGTTAAAAACGTTTCAACGCCAATCGAGATGACATCGTCAGTACGGAGTTGAGTGCGTAAATTACTCCTCTTCTGCCTGTACTTATGTAGTTTCTAGACAGTACACAATAACTCCAAGGCGATTGGTTGCCCCGGGGTGACTTTTGCGTAATTTGGCCAGTCAGCTTGGATTCGGTTAGCGGTGTTATCTCAGTTCATTTCATCTGGTTTATTTTCTGGGCGCATTCAATTCGACAGTCCTGTTCCTCCGTCGTGTGTGGTCTGATTTCGCTGCATTTGATTGGTTGGTTGGTTGAATAACCTAGTTTTAGCAGCTTGTTTCTCTGATTTGATTGATCCGTCGGTTGTCATTAGGTTGTTCAGAGTGCAATTTTCTTGTTCGTAGCGGCCGATAGACTGGGGATCTCGATAGATATTTAGTGAGGCCACGCAGTGGTAGCGGCTAATGAACCACAACAGCCTGGATGATTCGATAGATTTTCGAAACTGGGCTTAATCAAACCAAAAGTGGCATGGTCGAACAAAAAGAAAGACAAAGTGAAGGGGTGTCGGATGGCCGCCAGTACTTTCATAAGCACAATAACGGCTATGCTTCAACTCAGATATCGGTCTGGACCTCACAGGCAAGGAACTACAAAGGTTCACAACGTGAATTAAAACCAGGCCAAAAACAGCGCATCGTATTTAAAGTACGAGGCGAAAACATTCTGGAGATTCCAATGCGCCAATGGCAACCGGCATTGGAAGGATAGTGAATCACGATTGGCCGTTGGATTCACACTTTCGGCCAATCAGAGATCACGTTGGCGCTGGACCAGCAAGCGGTCCGATCTTCTGGCCAATCGCGTGCGGGTTAAGCTTTTTGGCCGTAGCGGCGTCCAACTGCAAGCGGTAGAGCGGTCTTAGTGCGGGATTCCGTCTAACAATAAGTATTTTTGAGTCGGTTAGAAAAACAATGATGATATTCACGCTGATCATTTTGTGGCTCCTGTGGACGCTCAACAAAATATTCATTGCGCGAATCCAGGATGGCGGAATAAGTCACATTTGAAACCGATTCATGGCGAATTATTTGTCCAGAGCATACAACAGAGGAGGATTTCTAAGTTCTCGAAAGGAGCTACATAGGAGGTTGCTGAAAACGTTTCGACATCAACCTTGTAAGTAGTATCATTCAAGAAAATATATTTCGATACCTCAAATATCATACCAACTGAAACATGAGGCGGCCTTGGTGCAGCATATTCAGTTGGAGAATATCACAGACGATAGACTTAGCAGAGTCTCGCGTGAAAACTGAGTTGGTGGGCAACTGAGTGTTCTGGATGTTCCGAACGTGAGGTTTTTCTTTCACGAGGTTGGCAAGTTACGTTGGTGTTGATGGAAGACTCGGCTGATGCAGACCTCACGAGACGGTGCCCCGAAGAAGACCTGAAATCGCTCAGCACAGAGAACAAGCCAACGACCATGTACCCCCACCTGAGCCACCAACATTTTCCTCCATAGAAAAAAGAAGACCTCTATTTTTCTGGACCGCAACGATGGGCAATCTTAGGACTAAGCAATGTATGTCTTGTCAATACCGATGAATGCATGCAGTGATTGCGTGTCTAGTTAAATAGACGAAATTATTTTTTTATCTATTCCGACACCGGAAAATATGCTGCATATTTTCATGAAGGAAACTACTCACAAGGTTGCTGGAAACACTTCGACAGCCCACGATCGATTTCGCCCTTCTTGGGGCTCATCAGGTAAGCGCGGTCCCCGAGTTTCCGTGAACCTCATGTCCTACTTGAACCCAAATTGGACTGTTTTCGAGAAATGCACTCATTTGTAAATCAATTTGGTTTTCACAAGAGACTTAACTGAATATCTCGTGCCAAATGAAACATGAGGCGGCCTGTGTACAGCACATTCAGTTGTAGAATACCATAAACGAGAGGTTCATTTGAGTCTCTCGTGAAAACCAAATTGATTTGCAAATGAGTGCAGTTCTCGAATGCTGCATATTTCTTCAAAATGCTGTGTGGACCGAGTCCAAGTTGATCGCTGTCACCAGAAGCTAAAAAGAGCGACACAGGTAACTCTGATGGAAGAGGTGGGGCTGCTCGGAAACGAAAGGTGAGGAGTGGCCTTGGACTATCGAAAATATGCACTGAATACTGTCTGCTACTCGAGGAGTGATGAGGCAATCACTTTCGAATTCAAAAGTAATAATGATAACAATCGTTCAGCTGTAACACTTTGGTTGCCTGGCTGTCACGCCACACAAAGGAGGCATGAAGGTTGCTTAGATAGCAGTAGTCGAGATGCCGGGGTTGGGTTCGAACCACCGGCCTCAGCAAGTCCGCGTCCTAAGCAATGACGAGCTCGGCGGCAGGTAACTGCCAAAGAAAAGAGTGACCTACTTGCAACAAGTGTGGCGGCAATAATGGCGGCTGCGTGAGGGTCCCTATTCCTGGGGCGATAGGGCCGGGAGATCCGAACGATCCGGATCGGCGCTGAAACTCCGACGGGTGTGAGGGGATGTAGCGTCCATAGTTACCCGGGGGTGAATGACCCAGTGAGTCGGGCTGCAAAGAGATAGGAAGCAAAGAATGAAGTGTAAGATGATCACAGCACCTAGAATGAGTAAACCAGCATGGTCTTAGGATGATATTAAGGTAGGCCAGCGATTGTTGGCTACCACAAGAGAAGTAGTCCTTTTTCTATAGAGGAGAATGTGGGTAGCTCAGGTAGCGTAGATGGTCGTTGGCTTGTTCGCTGAGCTGGGCTGCCCAGATCTCACAAGATCAGTTAGTAGTAAAAGAAAAAAGCCAGAGGCTTCGAAAAACGACCTGAAACAGAAGTCGAAATGAAAATTCGATGCTTCTCTTTTGATCGGTATGAGTCAACAACCCGCAACAATTTAGCGTGTCTTGATATGAAGGGTCACTTCACTGAAGTTTCATCCAAGTTACAAAGAAGTACTTGACAGTTTAAAGCTCTTTGGAGCTGGCTAACCTCGTGCATTTCTTGAGGACTGTACCGCGAGCACGAACTGGACTTTTGATGCATTAAATCAAGCATGAAAAAAGTACGGATCATGTTTTCCCCACGGAAATTCGCATCTCCGAAAGGGTCACCACTCAATTCCTGGAAGCTTTTGTCTGATAGAAACTATGTTTCAGCTTAGTAAAAACACCACTGGAAAGTGGCGGTGCTCACTGAGCATGTTCACGCACTCGTGGAGGCGAAATTCCATAGGCGTAGCTCGATTGACAGCACAGTTGAGCGGTACTCACGTGCTCAAACCGCTGTGGATAGAAAGGCGGGAATCAGCAAACCAATATCACGTGCCAGCGACATGGTTTTGAATGTGACCACGGTCACACTAGGTTGTGCCATCCTTATATGGCAACGGAATGTGAGCTCAAGAGAGTGGGGTGGATTGGAAAGCTTTGAGGTTTACGGCTAGTCCCAATCTACCGATTGCTTCTGGCCACGCAAAGGACTACAAGGGTATAAGTCGACATTGGTGATTCCCATGGGGTTCGTGCACGGAAGAGAAACCATGGTAAATTGTGTTCGTGTTGTGTGCTCACAGGACATGCGTGATCCATGTCACTTCGATTCCTACGACTCGGTGGCAGTAACTGTCATTAAGGCATGACTCAGATTTCCAGGTGACCAATTAAATCACGCTACGGACCTACCAATCGCCTTAGAATAATGGCGGCTGCGTGAGGGTCCCTATTCCTGGGGCGATAGGGCCGGGAGATCCGAACGATCCGGATCGGCGCTGAAACTCCGACGGGTGTGAGGGGATGTAGCGTCCATAGTTACCCGGGGGTGAATGACCCAGTGAGTCGGGCTGCAAAGAGATAGGAAGCAAAGAATGAAGTGTAAGATGATCACAGCACCTAGAATGAGTAAACCAGCATGGTCTTAGGATGATATTAAGGTAGGCCAGCGATTGTTGGCTACCACAAGAGAAGTAGTCCTTTTTCTATAGAGGAGAGGCTGCAAAGAGGAAGCAAAGAATGAAGTGTAAGATGATCACAGCACCTAGAATGAGTAAACCAGCATGGTCTTAGGATGATATTAAGGTAGGTAAGCGATTGTTGGCTACCACAAGAGAAGTAGTCCTTTTTCTATAGAGGAGAATGTGGGTAGCTCAGGTAGCGTAGATGGTCGTTGGCTTGTTCGCTGAGCTGGGCTGCCCAGATCTCACAAGATCAGTTAGTAGTAAAAGAAAAAAGCCAGAGGCTTCGAAAAACGACCTGAAACAGAAGTCGAAATGAAAATTCGATGCTTCTCTTTTGATCGGTATGAGTCAACAACCCGCAACAATTTAGCGTGTCTTGATATGAAGGGTCACTTCACTGAAGTTTCATCCAAGTTACAAAGAAGTACTTGACAGTTTAAAGCTCTTTGGAGCTGGCTAACCTCGTGCATTTCTTGAGGACTGTACCGCGAGCACGAACTGGACTTTTGATGCATTAAATCAAGCATGAAAAAAGTACGGATCATGTTTTCCCCACGGAAATTCGCATCTCCGAAAGGGTCACCAGTCAATTCCTGGAAGCTTTTGTCTGATAGAAACTATGTTTCAGCTTAGTAAAAACACCACTGGAAAGTGGCGGTGCTCACTGAGCATGTTCACGCACTCGTGGAGGCGAAATTCCATAGGCGTAGCTCGATTGACAGCACAGTTGAGCGGTACTCACGTGCTCAAACCGCTGTGGATAGAAAGGCGGGAATCAGCAAACCAATATCACGTGCCAGCGACATGGTTTTGAATGTGACCACGGTCACACTAGGTTGTGCCATCCTTATATGGCAACGGAATGTGAGCTCAAGAGAGTGGGGTGGATTGGAAAGCTTTGAGGTTTACGGCTAGTCCCAATCTACCAATTGCTTCTGGCCAGACAAAGGACTACAAGGGTATAAGTCGACATTGGTGATTCCCATGGGGTTCGTGCACGGAAGAGAAACCATGGTAAATTGTGTTCGTGTTGTGTGCTCACAGGACATGCGTGATCCATGTCACTTCGATTCCTACGACTCGGTGGCAGTAACTGTCATTAAGGCATGACTCAGATTTCCAGGTGACCAATTAAATCACGCTACGGACCTACCAATCGCCTTAGAGCTATCAGGTACTGCATAGAAACTACATAAGCATAGGCAGAAGAGGCGGAAACTACCCACTTAATTCCGCAATGACGATGTTACCTCGACTGGTGATGAAACGTTTGCAATCCATATGCAGGCTCGGTAAACAGACCAATAACCAACATTCAGGTTTTATCTTCTATCGTGGACCGTGTTTGGTGGTTGACAACTCGGAGTACCCCCTTGAGGGATTAGCTGGACCGACCGATTAGTATTTAGTCGTGTGATTATGCCTGCTGGAACAAGTTGCTCTAACATGGGTTCAATCGATCGTCACAACGAGGGCAGTTACTGGGTCGTCGTTCGATGGGTCGAGCACACCAATCACATCGCTCAAGCGTGAACACGTTTGCCTGTTCAGACGTGAAAATCCAGGTGCATCCAAAGTGCGTTGGTCGAGCAGTGGTAACACGCTCGCCTAGGATGTCAGATGTCCAGGGTTCAAATCCCGGCACGGCCATTGGATACGCACCGCTGATGAGCTCTAATAAGAGCGAAACTCGAGTCCAGTGCTTCCCTTTGGTGTGGACTCA